ACATGTCATCAAAATTCGGGCCCTGCATATAACATAAATAAAGGTTCTGGGAAGTGACGTGTGGTTTTGTGGATGAGTAGAACGTAGGTCTCCATCTTCAGGGTAGAAGATGAAGAGAAGGGCATCAGATTCTTCCGAAATTTTGGTATCTGTCTACTACACTACAAGGCGTCACATCCCAGAACATTGTAATATTATTTATGACCGCAAAAACTTCAAATCTCTCCTATGAAGAAGGACGCTTTAACAAATTTTTATCCGAGATACTGACAGCTGAAGAACGAACACACCGAGGAAGTTGATGCAGCAATAAGCGACTGCCCTGGAGGAAGTTTTTCGTGGTCTTTCTCAGTCCTCCCAGGTAAATTTCAGTGTTATTATTTATTTATTATTATTATATCCATCACTGTAGCACAGGCCGTGGAGTCCTATAGGGTTGTGAGATGTCGAGGCTCTCACATTTTCTAGACAATCGATTCACAGATGTCGGTGAGGTTGTCAGCCCTACCCGCCGGTCGCTCTTTAACCCCAGGAAGTTCCCTAGTACTCATTTCTGTTAGAGACTGATTCCACCCCAGGGCCAAAATGCGGCTGGAAGGATTAGGTCAATTGAGAAATCTAATGACCTCATCGAGAATCGAAGCCGCATCCTTCCAACTAGTAGCATAGAGCCTAAACCAGTCACAGTACCGCGTGCCCCAAACCCCAGGGATAGTACCTCAATTAGGGCACAACTACTTCCTTCCAAAACCTTTCCAGTTCATTATTAATCCTACCATTGATACCTCTAACAGAAATGAGTACCAGGAATTAATTAAATAAATTTTCTGGGGAGTAAAGCGCGGCCGGCGCGTAAGGCTGACAACCTAACCGCCATCTTTAAGCCGATTGTGTAGATAATGTGGGACCCCCAACGTCTCACAACCCTATAGGCCTTCACGGCCTGGTACAGGGATAGCTTTACTTTACCATTGAAACCTAGAACTGTCTAAATATTTGCAGCATCTAAACTGCACC